GAAACAAAGAAAACGACATGAGGAAAAGATAACAAAAGAAAAAGGGAAAAATACCTAAAAATGAAACTCGGACAGTAAGGAGTTGGAGAGAGCCTTCGAATCTTCGATATTTAAACCAAGTTTGACGTTAATCATGTGTTCTTATCAAGAACACATGGATAAAGTCAGATTCAGCCTAAATCTTCAACGAATCTCGGCTTTGAGGTTTTAGGGTTCGGACTTAGATTCAAGATTCGAACATTTTGGGATAAATTCTAGGGACAAGAATTTGAGATTGGGGAAGAGGGGACCATGGGGATTCTGGGGTGTTAGTTTGGAGTGAATTGGGACCGGCGCCGGCGGTGGAGAGAACAAGGGCGGCGCTAGGGTTTCCTTTCAAATCAAGATTCGAGACACTCCAAGGAGTTTCGAGGGAAGGTGATTGAAGATTTGGACAGAGGGAGTGGAGGAGAATATTTTGTGTTATTTTGGGTAGTGATTGGAGGAGGCGCCGCCGGTGATGGCGGTGGAACTTCAGGCGGCGGCTAGGGTTTCTGGACGGGTCTCTGAGAGGGGTGTGAGAGAGTGATGAGAGATGGGGTAGGGGGGAGGTTCGGACAGTCTTATACTCAAGACTCTTGAGTTCACAGCCGTTGGATCTGGAGACCTCGACGGTCCTGATCAGACTTGGATTAAACGGGATCGTTTTGGGGTTTGGCGATTGGACCGGTTCAGGGGTGATTGGGCTGTGGGCGATTTGGGCCGGATTGGGGATTAAATGATTTGGGCTTGTAGGATTTTAATCAAAGTAGCCCAAACAGAATTTCCTTCTCTTGTTTCTTTTCTTTTCATATTTTTTATTCTAATAACTTTTAAAAATTCTTCTATATTAAAATTAAAAGAAACCTAAATTAGTACCAAATTAAAGGAAAAACTACAAAAGTTAAAAAAAATTAAAATTAAAAGTGCAAAAATAACTATTTTTGTGATTTTCCCCATTTTTATAAAACAACTAATACTAATTAATTCTTTAAAATGCAAAGTTAAATCCTAAATGCAAATGCAACATATTTTTTGTATTTTTCACTAATAAATGCACAGACAAAAAATGCAAACCAATTGACAAAAATGCCACGAAAATCAACAAAATGAAAAGAAATGATTTTGTTTGAAACTATGGGAGTAATTCATGTAGAGCAAAAATCACGTGCTCACAGTACGTTCCCTTTCCCTTTTTAAATTAATGCTTACCTATATGTGTACTCTATCGGTCATTTGCTATGCACTTGCTACCTTATGAATCCCAAACCCCCATATCCCCTATATGTGTTTGTGTTCCTTTGGATGGTTTGTGTCCATGCCAGCATCAGCTATTGCTGTGCATGACCAAATCAGACCCCTGCTGGGGTTATACAATGAATCCCATAATCCCTTGCCCCTTTGAATGATTTCTGATTCTGTTTCACTACTACAACTGTTTTCAAAACACCCTATACCACTTACTATTCCCAACCCAGTTTTAATAAATCTCTGTTCTGCACTTCCACTATACTCTTAGAACCTAGGTTCTACCCCTCTTGTGTGAGCCTTGCCTTGGGACCCTTGAGTTCATTCTGATCTTGGGCACATAAGGGCTGGCCCTTCCACACTGAACTCATTCTATTTGGTTATGTAAACCTAGGTGTGAGCACTGCCTGGGATCCCCTAAGATCCTTAGGGAACTTTGACACACTCAGGTATGAGAAAGGCTTTGAAACATTGGCATTGAAGTGATTAATTATATAACTCAGATAGGAAGTCAAGATCAGGCTTCTTTTGGTTGTAATTTCTTATTTCTGCACTTCTTTTGTAATTCAATCATTGGGACCGTAATAATTTGTAAACAATATCGGGGGATTAGTGAAAAGGGTGGGTAGTTGTACATTGTGGGTGAATCGGGTAGATAACATGACTATAGGGTCTATTTGCTTCAAGTTTGGTCTGTTAGATAACATGCCTATAGGATCCGTGCTTTGTTTAAAACCAATTCTGCATGCTTCACTTTCACACAACTAGAAATCATGTCTATAGGACATAAGTGGCTTTAATAATAGGTAACATGCCTATAGGGTTAAAAATCAGCTCTACAATTAAATATCATGCCTATAGGATATAAATTAACTGAAGCTCAACTTTCGTTACAGCATGTATCCAAACTCGTTTCCTTTAGAAATCACGCCTATAAGTCCCAAGTCAGCTTTCACATACCTAGATACCATGCCTATAGGATCTAAATAGCTATAATAGAAATCATGCCTGTAGAATTTAAAATAATTTAGTTGGAAAAGCCATCTAGTTCATGTTATTATTCTGAATTGGATTAATTTAGTAATCTGCCGCTTCTTTAATAAGTTTCGCAAACACTGCCTCGACTTAATACCGTTAGAAAGCATGTCAATAGGATCTCCAATTGTCTGCTTAAAATTAATCACTGCTCTACTGCATTCCTAATCAATATAGATATCGTGCTCATAGGATATCATTATTACGCCTAGGCTAGCCTTAGGTAACTACTTGAATAAAACTGGAACTGCCTTCGTTAATTATCACTTGCTACAACCAACAGGCAGGCCTGATTTGGACTTCTTATCTGAGCTATATAATGAATCTGGTTCTGACTCAAATCCCCTGCTTTTGGACTTAAAAAATTCAGACTTTATATGTGTTTGAGTCGTGCTATTTATATGCATTATTTGCGGAGGTTTATATGAGCCTTCTAATTGCTTACAAGTTTCCCCTTTAAATGCAGTCCTACGTGTTTTCGTATGTCGCCTTAGCCTTTTTACGTTTAAACCTAAGAGTCAGCCTAAAATCCTCCCTCTTGTAGGAATAGTAGTCCTAAAATTCCTCCGGGACTGATAGGAATGGGACGGGTAATAGCACGCAATAGAGGTCGAGACCAATCCGTGCTTTAATACCTTTACGGGGTGGGAAGGGTAGATATAGATATGATGACCGGTGCGCTAATACCACGTGTAGCCCCTCTTTTGAGGAGTGATTACTGGGTATTGCATTGATGTGATCCATATTATAAACAAACCTAGGACCCCTTTACATTCATTAGCATACTTAGATTATAACTCTTTTCGAAACCCTGCTTTATTTAATCTTTTTCTAACACTTGTGTATTTAAAATCCCCTATTATTTGAGCCTTGTTTGTTTACTTGTTAATTGCACAAATTCAAAAAACTAATTGGCCGGGAACCACACTAGTGGATCCTGAGGGGTGCCTAATACCTTCCCCTTGGGATAATTTCAAGCCCTTACCCTATCTCTGGTTATCAAATGTAGTTGTAGTTGAACCCCATAGGTGCCCTAATGCACCTTAAAATCGTTAGGTGGCGACTCTTCAAAATTGCAAAACCCCTTTCCCAAAAGGAAAGAGTTGTCCCAACCAAATGTCATAAACCCAATTTCGCGAGAAAAAGGGGGGCGCGACAAACCCCGCATTGCGTCTCGTCAATCAAAATAATATCATCCGTAAATAACATACACCAAGTCACCTCCCCTTGAATATGGCGCATCGATGTATCCAACGCCAAGGCAAATAAGAATGGGCTAAGAGCCGGCCCATGGTGGAAGCCCATCACAACTGAAAAGTGGTCTGAATGCCCCCACGGTCCTCACTCGAGTCTTGGCTCCATCATACATGTCCTTAATCACCCTAGTGTAAACCACCGACACACCCCTAGCCTCCAATCACCTCCATAGGATCTCCCTCAGAACTTTGTCATATGCTTTCTCTAGATCGATGAACACCATATGTATGTCTCTCTTCCTCTCCCTATACTGCTCCACCAACCTCCTTACAAGGTGAATGGCTTCCATGGTCAAATGTCCCCGCATGAATTTGAACTGTTTTTCATAAATAGACACGCTCTTCCCCACCCTCACTTCCACCACTCTCTCCCAGCCTTTCATAGTGTGGCTCAGCAGCTTGATACCCCTTAGTTGTTACAATTTTGGATATCTCCCTTGTTCTTATATACCGAAATCATCGTACTCCACCTCCATTCCTCAGGTATTTTCTTCGTCCTAAAGATGGTGTTAAACAACGCAGTGAGCCATTCCAAGCCAGCTCTACCCACACTTATAATCCCAAATCTTATATGGGATAGATAATTCCAAGATTTTGGTTTAATGTTTATACCGATTTTAATTAATACATTAACCAAATATGGGGTAAATATATTTCCGCATTTTGTACCAGAATCAGTAACCAATCGACCCTTAAGCAGAGACACTATGGAGCACAACAGTCTTAACTGTTAGTACAGGCTCAACTCCAAAAAGTACACCCCAATTCCTGCAGTCATGTGAAGAACTTTTGCAACTTCCATTATCTCTGTAGAAGTTGGTTACTACTTTTGGATTAATGAGAATGTTCCAATTGGGGTATTATATCATTTATTTATAGATAGCTGGTATCGAATTTGTTCTTTCAATTTTTTATCATTATCCCACACAAGCCAAACTAAGAGCCCGTTTGGTCAAGCTGCAAAAATTTTCTTATTTTGAAAAATACTTTTTTTTAGAAGTACTTTTTTTAAAAGTACTTTGATAAAAAATAGTTTGTGTTTGGCAATTTATTTAAGAAGTACTTTTTGCAACATTTGGTTAATAAATTGTGTTTGGCCAATCTTTCTAAAAAGTACTTCTGAGTGTCAAATTATCAAAAAGAATAGTACTAAGGTCTTATAATTCTTTTATAGAGAAAAATAAACTCAAATATTTATCGTAAGAGACTATTATTTTTATTCTATTTAATTAAAATATAAACATAAAGTAAACAAACATATTAAAGATTTAAATCAATTTTACACATATAGTTATACCAAAGCATATATTATTATCTAGTATAATTACTTATTGTTACATGATGATTTTAATTATCAAAATACATCATTCAGTATGAATTAGAAGTCTATTCCACAAATTACTATATATTGATAAAATACCATGAAATAATAAGTAAAGTCACTCACACATGATAATATTTCTCAACAATTTCATCTCTACGTCTATCACACAACGCATCCATATTTGTAGAAGACTTGCCTTGCATTTCTAAAGGAATATCAGAAGGTCCATCTCCTTCCTCAATTTCTGCATTAATGCCTTCATTAGCATAATAATTAATTCCTTATCGGTAGAAGAATATCGTCGGATGAAATTATGTATAGCCATGGTAATTGTAACTAGATGATTCTGAGTGTCAAACTTGAAAGATGGCATTGAACGTAAAATAGAAATAATTTTAAATATATAAAAATAAATTTTTTGTAAAAAAAATAGTTAAGTATGTTTAAATTCAAATTCAAAAAGAGTAACGAATTATTAACAACACATAATGCATATATTTTTTTAAAATTTAAATTCAAAAAGAAACTGATTAGTATTACCTAACCTTACTAACTTTGTCCTACATTGCCAAGTGGCCTATTGTCGGGCTGCCACTTGGCTTAATGTGTGATGCGTTTTCTTCTTCTTTTAATAATATATAGATAGATTATGCGATGGAATTGTAAATTTATTAACTATTTGTAGGTAATTTTCACAAATTAGATTTGATAACTGTTTTAAAGATTGGAGAACTAATAGCATACAACATAAGAAATTATAAATGATTATTTGTAGGAAGAGATTTGATAATCCAAAGAAGGATGTAGATAATTTACTTTAGTGTCAAAAAAGAAGAGAATTTTGAAAGTTACAAGACATTACACAAGAAAAAATCAAAAACAAGAAAAGTCAATAAAGAATCTGGAAAGTTACAATATGATTCATGTATATGATATCTTTAGTTTTAAAAGAATGGTAAAATCTAGAAATAAAAATGAAAAGAAAAAACTTAAATTAGTAAGGGATAATTTGAAAAATATAAATTTATGGTGAGGATAGTTTTATATTGAATAAATTAATTTTCCACTTCTGCTTCTGCTTCTTGGAAGAAGCTAGAATTTTTTGCTTCTTCCCAAAAGCAGAAAAACTGCTTCTGCTGCTGACCAAAAGTACTTCTCTGTATTGGCCAAACAGCTTAAATTTTTTTTAAAAATACTTTTTTAAAGGAAAAAAGTACTTTTGGCCTCATAGTAGCTCGGCCAAATAGGCTCGAAATGTCTTAATCAGAAAGTATTATTTGTATTGAATTGTATGATCATTTTGTTTAAAAATTTAAGCTATTATGGGAAAAGATATTTTTAATAGTTTTATTGTAAGTGACGCCAACCGAACTAATTAGCTAACAACCTAAAGAAAATAGATTAGTTAATAACTGTATTCGCCAAATTAATTTAGACCCAATTCTTTGGAAAGTTAAGTTGAAACCACCCTTCCCCCCCCCCCCTTCCCCCCCAAGACAACTATCGTTCACTAAATTATTGTTTAATTGAAGCTCAATTAAGACATTTAACTAGATTGTATATACTTTAAAAGCTACACTTAAGGTGGTCCTAACTAGCCATCAACTAAATATAAATGGATCGATTTAATGCTCGGACTTAATCGGCTAGCTGAACAAGTTGATATATCAGTTAACCGTTGACCTAGGATTTAACCCTGGTCTATAAAAGACAGACGTTCTCATCAAATATTACTCATTCGTTTACTTTTATTTGTCCGCTATATTAAAAATATATTCATTTTTACTAGTCCACTCTAAAAAACAAGACATAATTTAGCATTTTATACCAACTTTACTCTTGTATTTTTCAACACTTTGGATTTATAATAGTTTTCAGTTAGTTTTCCAATAGTTATAATTTGGGGTGATACAGTAAAGTTATTATTTTCTTATTTGCTTCTTAAGAGGTGTGCGTAGTTACCATATGTAACTGTAGTTTGCCTAATATTATTATTTAGACTCATGGGAGGATCAGAGGCGGAGCTAAGATTTAAAATTGAGGAATTTTTATAAAACACTACAATTTAGAGCCTAATTACTATACGTAACTATAGTTTGCCTAATATTATTTAATTGTTACCAGCTTGTATCACTGTATTCATACGCGCATCGAGTATTCGTTCGCACATCGAGTATTCGTTCGAGCAATAAATACAACCAAGGCGAAATACAGATACAACTCGTACCAATTGTATTTAACTAAGGTGAAATGCAACCTGTAACGACTGTATTCGTTCGCGCAAGGAATACAACCAAGGAGAAATACATAAATACAAAAAAAATAGAATGTTCTCATTCAGAGTCAAACTCAAGATCTTCGCTTATTAAGCGAGTGTTCTAACCAACTGAGCTACGAGAGCTTGTAGCTCTCTTGTTTCATTTCAAAACAATTGATCTCTTGTTTCAGTAGTGCAAGACAATTGAGTTCTGAACTTGACTTCAAACCTATAGCACGTCTTAGTCACTAAGTTCTGAACTTGACTTCTTTTTTTTGAACGTTAAAACAGGATATTATATATATATACTAAGTTGCGTTTGGCATATTACATTGTTCTTCACTTAATGCGAAGAGTGAAGGATCAGATGGCCCTTCCTTCATAATATTTTGATTTTCTAGGCAAAATAGCATATTACAGATACTACTAGATACATTCTTAGAGAAAATAGGATCCCCACTCATATCATTTGCAAGCGTTTTTTCTACAAAAACTGGTGGTGACACTAATACTTTAACTTCTTCATGCATATTTTTGCTGTCGTCCTCGTTTTTTGCATCTTTTGCTAGTGCATCCGTCACCCTATTGCGTTCTCTGAAGTTATGCCTCAGTACTAGGTCCTTCAGCTGGAACATTAATGACCTGCAAAAAAAGATTACGTTATTTAGAGTAGCATGGCCATTTTCAATGGCTTTGATGACGTCTGTTGAATCTGTTTCAATTTCTAATGGAAACAGCATGAATCTATGAGCTAATTTGAGGCCTTCCTGGAGTGACTGTAATTCAGCGTGTAGAGGATATATGGCATTGGTTTTCTTTTGGAAGCCAATAATCCACTTCCCACTGCAACTTCGGAAGACTCCACCTATGCCACTTTTGAGGTTATCATGCGCACCATCAACGTTGAGTTTGTACCACCCCTTTTGAGGGGGATGCCATTTGATGTCAATGGTCATTTTTTGAGTAATAGGGTTACTGTGAGAGGTCATGAAGTGGAATTCCATGGCATGATGTACAATGGTTTTGAGTGACGGGGAGAAATTTGTGTTGTTTATGTTGTTGCTGTTTCTATTTAACCAAATTCCCCATACCACGAATGGAAAGAGTTGTTGCCAGTCAATGAAAGTATTGATGAATTTTGGGGATTGGTTTTTGAGAAAAGACAACCAATGCTCATTGGAGTTATGGATAGTGATTAAGCCTAATTGTGCCCATAGCCTTTGGACAGTTGTGCAGGTGAGGAAGATGTGCCGTGGGGATTCCTCATCAGTATGGCACATGGCACAATTCTTATCTATGTTGATGCCAATGTGTTGGAGGTATTGTTGGCAAGGAATTCTGTTGTGTAGACATTGCCACAAGAAGTATTTTATTTTATTTGGGCATTTGAGTTCCCAAATCCATTTAAAGTCCAAACGAGGGCATTGATTTTCCTGGAGGAGTTTGGCACATGACTTGGAGGTGAAGCTTCCACTAGGAGATAGGGACCAAACGGGTGTGTCTTGGGTTTTATTAAGGGGGAATGGAATCTTGTTTATATTGTTTGAAATTTCTTTTGGGATATTGAAGGAAAGATTAGATAAGTTCCATTGATCTGAACTTACCTTCACATCTACAACACGTCTTATTTATTTGGTTCCCAATTACTTATTATATAATTTTAATAAATTCCTAATACAAAATACAAGATTTAAGAAAAGGTTCATGAGTTCGACCAAACCCGTAAATGATACTCTACCTCGACCTCAGGGCCGGACACATAAGCCTACTTACGAGTTTGGGAGAACCCAATAGCTCTGGCCCTGACTCTGTAATCATATTAAAATTTATTTATTATATATAAATAATTTATTAAGAATTTAATAAACTACTTTTTTAGAATCTAGAATCTATAAACTCAAAATTCTAGTTCCGCTTCTGATTAGATCGCTTCATCGCTACATATGATGTCACAACCCAATTATATAGGCTGTGACGGCGCCCAACGCCGTCGCTAGGCAAGACAACAGTAAAGAGATTTCGTGGGTTCCCTTTTTAATAGATTTTCAAGTAATTAAACTTTCCTTAATATAAAAGATTTAAGAATAACTGATTTAAAATAAGTTAAACGAAAACAGCGGAATGCCATCATATTAATAGAAATAAACCAAAACCACAAGTCAACTAGTGTGTGCCAAGACCTGGTGTCACAAATGTATGGGCTACTAGTAGAATATACAAAAGAGTTCTACTCTACTGTCTGAAATGAGATAGACAGAACAATAAACATAAGAAAGACTCTGGCTGCTGCAGAACGGTTCGGAAGGCAGCTCCTCGTATAGTCTCGTAACAGGGATCAAGTATGCGCGCCAGACTGATATCCAGATGCCTGCCTCAGATCCTGCACATTAAGTGCAGAAGTGTAGCGTGAGTACATAAACAACATGTACCCAGTAAGTATCCAGTCTAACCTCGAAGAAGTACTGACGAGGGGTTGACTTTGACACTTACTATGGGCTAACAATAAAATATCAAAATAATAACTAAGCATGGATTACATAAATATAGCTGAAAACTCAACAACAGGGATAATAAACACTTCTTCCCGCTAAGAGTATATCTCAAGTTTGTTTTCCATTATTTAGCAATTTATATTTCAAGTCAATGCACAATATCAATTATAGCTGGTTCCAAAGATTTATCACTCGCAAAATATGCTGAGGTCGTAAGGCCCGATCAATCATAATAATATTTAAACTGTGCACTGCCGAGGTCGAACGACACGAACCATAGATGCATCTATCTGATACAGAGGCATTCGGCCCGCTCCACAAATAGAAAATACTTTAAAGAAACACAAATTCTCAATAACAGTCAAGTGTCCCATTCACAACTTCAAGTAAGTGAAATTTAAACTTTTAGAACTCTTTTATCAATTTTCAATATGACATAAGCAATTAAGTTAACCAGTAGGGTGTAAACATTGTAAGTATAGCATGATATGGGTCCTGGACTACCCGGACAATATCTTAATTAGTAGCTACGCACGGACTCTCGTCACCTCGTGCGGACGTAGCCCCCACAAATAGATGCACATATTAATGCAATTCACATATGGGGTTAATTCCCTCTTACAAGGTTAGAAAAGAGACTTACCTCGTCTCAAAGCCTACTTTTCGGTCAAAAGTTGTGCTCAAACCCTCAATTCGGTGCCGAACAATCCAAAACTAATCAAATGGTATATAAATTAATCATTACATGTTCAAAAGCTCATATTCCTACTATTAAAGTGATTACCCAACCCCAAATGCAGGATTTCTAAATTCACCCCGACCCACGTGGCCAGCTTTCGGAAATTTTCAAAGAAAGTTATTACCCATAACCTCATGAACTCAAATATTTTATTTTTACTAAATTCCATAGTAAATTTCGTGGTTAAATCTTATTTTTATCAAAATCCTAGGTTTTTCATCTAACCCATAAATTCTATAAATTTACATGTTATAACCTACCCATAATCAATGTATTAAACTAATATTGAGTACATGTTACTTACCTCAAAGTGATAGGTAAAACCCCAGTCTAGAAGCTCCAAAATCTCCCAAAGAGTGAGAGAAATGGGTTAGAAATGGCTAAGTCTCTTATTAAATGAACCCTTCTGCCCAGCGATTTTTGCACTTGTGGTGCCTTGGCTGCATTTGCGGTACCGCACCTGCGGTGCTTGGTCCGCTTCTGCGGAGGTCTTCAAGCCCAGCGAGGGCCACTTCTACGAACGGGAGCCCGCTTCTGCAGTCGCGCTTCTACGGAAAGCATGCCGCTTCTGCGGCTGGGTCCGCACCTAAGCGTTCGCGGGTGTGCACAAAATTCCACACTTGCGGTCCCTGGCCAATGCTCCAGAACCGCTTCTCCGGCCCCACCCTCGCACCTGCGGCCCAAAGCTCGCACCCGCAGGTGCGGGCATACCAGAACTGGTGCACCAGCAGCCCTATCGAGTTTCAAACTCAATTCGCACACCATTCGAACGGCATTCTGGGCCCCCGAGGCCCCGTCCTACATACCAACAAGTTTGGAGTCATAAAACGGACTTGCTAGAAATCTCGAAACGCACAAAACAACATCAAAACTACGAATCACACCCCAAACTAATTGAATCAAAATATGAACTTCAAGTTCTTCAATTTACTCCCAATGCGCCGAAACGTACTTAAACTACTCGGAATGATACCAAATTTTGCGTGAAAGTCTTAAATGGAATTACCGAACTATTACAGATCTCGGAATTCCATTTGGACCTCGATATAACCAGAAACCCACTCCAAACCAAATTTAACGAACTTCAAAAACCTTCAAAGAACCAACTTTCACTGTTAGGCGTCGAAACGCTCTCGGGTCATCCAAAACCCGATCCGAACATACGCGTAGGTCCGAAATCATCATACGAACCTATTGGAACCGTCAAATCCTGATTCCGAGGTCGTTTGCTAAAAATGGTGACCGAAGTCAAACTTAGCCTTTTAGCCAACCTTAAGGAACCAAGTGTTCCGATTTCAATCCGAACCCTTCCAAATCCCGAACTAACCATCCCCGCAAGTCATAAAATAGTAAAGTACGTACGGGAAGTATTATTTTGGTTAACTGGATTCTAGAAGGCAAAACGACTGGTCGGGTTGTTATATTCTCCACCTCTTAAACAAATGCTCGTCGTCGAACGGGTTTAAAATCATACCTAGAGTCTAAATAAGTGTGGATATCTGCTCTGCATGTCCTCCTTGGACTTCCAAGTCGCCTCCTCGACTGGTAGGCCCCTCCACTGAACCTTTACTGTGGAAATCCTCTTGGACCTCAACTGGAGAACCTACCTATCAACAATGGCAATTGGCTCCTCCTCATAGCCCAAGCTCTCATCTAACTGAATCGTGCTGAAGTGTAACATATGTGAACTATCGGCATGGTACCTCCGGAGAGTAGACACGTGGAAAACTTGATGGACTCCCGATAGACTGTGAGGCAAAGCTAGCTCATAAATAACCTCCCCAACTCGTCTCAACACCTCTAATGGGCCTATAAAACTTGGGCTCAACTTGCCCGTCTTCCCGAACCTCATGATCCCCTTCATCAGTAAGGCTTTCATCAGAACCTTCTCACCCACCACAAATGATAAATCACGTGCCTTCTGATCCGCGTAACTCTTCTATCTAGACTGTGCTGTGCAAAGTCGCTCCTGAATCAACTTTACCTTTTCCAAGGCATCCTTCACCAAATCAGTACCATATAGCCTGGCCTCGCTGGGCTAAAAGCATATAATGGGAGAACGACATCGCCGACCATATAAGGCCTCAAATGGAGCCATCTCAATGCTGGACTGATAACTCTTATTGTAAGCAAACTCTGCCAAGGGCAAGAATCGATCCCACTGGCCTCCAAAGTCAATCACACATGCTCTGAGCATATCACACATGCTCTGAGCATGTCCTCCAAGATCTGAACTGTCCGCTACAACTGCCCGTCGGTCTGTGGATGAAATGCGCTGCTGAGCTTTACGCAGGTTCCCAACTCACTCTGTACTGCTCTCCAGAAATGCAAAGTAAACTGAGGGCCTCTATCTGATATGATAAAAATAGGCACACCATGAAACCAAACTATCTCCTGAATATAAATCTGGGCCAACCTCTATGAAGTATACGTAGTCACAACTAGAGTGAAGTGTGCCGACTTGGTCAACCTGTCAACAATGATCCAAACTGCAACAAACTTTCGCAAGGTCCGTGTCAACCTAACTACGAAGTCCATAGTAATGCCCTCCCATTTCCACTCCGGTATAGTCATCTGCTGGAGTAGGCAACCTGGCCTCTGGTGCTCATACTTAACCTGGTGGCAATTTAGGCATCTGGCTACATACTCAACTATATATTTCTTCATCCGCCACCACCAATAATGCTGCCTCAAGTCGCGATACATCTTCGGAACACCTGGATGA